CCTTCATTTTTTTACCTTTTCGCAAAAAGGCGCAATTACAAATTTGCTAATATTTGTTATTTATTAACTCAATACAGTTTTATCTTTTAGATTTAGTCAGAAAATATTTTTTTTTGTGCACAGATACTGCTTTTGGTGTGTTTTAACAATTGAATTGTGTATTTTTATCGGTTTAATATTAGTTTGAGAAACATTTGCGCAATTATCGCAGGGCCTACAAATTTAGTATCACCATCTTTATATTCTACCGGGCCTGCGCTTTCAGAAAATATATGGTTTGGGGGGTCTTTTACAAATGCTAGCAACGCAGCAGTTGAAAATCAAATCAATAGGAAAAAATTGCAAAAAATTCAAAAATGGCTTAGCCAGCTGATTTGAAAAATGTTCCGGAGGGCTTGGCAGCGAAAGGGTTAAGGTGCATGAGAGCAGAGTGTGTAAAATGACTGGTCACCTGAACAAGGACTGTTTGATCTGGAAAGCTGAGCAGTGAAAGCGAGAGGCACCTACAAGAGAAAGAGCTAAGGCAGCCACAAAGGAAACTGCAGGCACATTATGGAGCGCTACTTTTAAAGTGACTCAGAACATTATACCACGCGGATAGTGTATTGACTCGGGCGCAACAAGCCACATGACTAGTGATGAGATCTTCTTCACACAAATTAATTTCAGTTCAAAGGACAAAGTCTTTCCAGCAAATGGGAAAAGTATTACTGGAGAAGGTAACGGTCAAGGATTCTTGAACTGCATCACACCTTCAGGGGCAAGCAGAGTATCCTTGTGAAAAATGTACTGTATGGCCCAGACCTAGAAGACTTGCTTGAGATGGTCTTAAAGTTCAATTCCGAGGTGATGAATGTACATCAGAAACATCAGAAAAACTTCAAGAGTATGTAGCCATGTCCAGCAACAAACCAGGAATTATATGCACCGACAACAGAGGGAAATACACGAGTAGAATCATAAGTAGAATCATATTTGAAGAAACAGGGTATAGCACACCAGACCACCACCTCATTCACTCCTGAACAAAATGGTGTAGCAGAACAGAAAAATCACACTCTTATAGAAATGGCCAGATGAATGCTGTCAGACGCCATCCCACCTAAGAAGTACTGGGGAGACGCCGTCATGACTGCAACATACCTAGAAAGCAGACTACCATCAAAAGCCATTGAAAGCACCCCATTTGAATTGTGGCATGGATTGAAGCCTAGCCTAGTACACATGAGAGTGTTTGGATGTAAAGCTTACACCTATATTCCCAACGAGAAGCGATCCAAGTTGGGGAACACAACCATTGAAGGTATTCTAGTGGGCTATAGTGAACAAAGTAAGGACTATAGAATCCTCCACCCAAAGACTGACAAAGTGACAATAGGTTGCACCATTTATTTTAATGAGAACCCATCACCAGAAACAATGATCTTGGGAAGTTGTGAAGTGAATTTGCCCAGTGAACCAGCAAAGGAAGCTGAGCTAAGTGAAGCCGCACAGGAATCAGAACAAGAGGTGGAACTCACAATGGATAAGTCAAGTTCCATGTTAAATTCTGCTGAACAACCTAAATTAGAATACACTAGGGTAACAAGGGGAATATGACCCCTAATCTATCATCTCTCTGCCGCAGATGTTTGCCCAATCTGCCTGAAATCTTGTAAGATACCAATCATCTTGTAGAGAGACATAAGTAGCTGACATGTAAGTAATGATGTGATTAGGGGGAGTGGCTTCTTGCAAGATTTGGTTTTAAGGTGGCAATGGAAGAGCAAACACATTAATTCAAGCAGGCATGCAGCATGGACACATGGACACACGTGCCTAACCGCAAACTTGTCACCAGAAAGCCTATTTAAGGAATGGAGCTGAGTGATAAAGTTGCTGGATAATCTTCAGTTGTTACCTTGTGATCCAAACCTGAACCTGTTCCTTTAATCAGCTGATCAGTTGATCCCTCTGCTTGTCCCTGGATTTGTCTCTGCTCTGACTTCTCATTGTGACCCGACTTGTTCTTGACCTTGTCTCTATTTGCCTGCCAGTTGCTAACTCAGCTAATTTCTGACCACAACTCTCCTGACCTCCTGGTGTGACCTCAGCCTGCCTCCTGACCATGATTATATATTTTGCCCTGCCTTTTCGGTTACTGACCACTGCCTCTCTCAGACCACACTCCCAGCCTGTCGTGGGTTTTAGTGTTTCTGCCAGCTGCAGCCAATGCAATGCTTGGTCTTGCGTTTTCAAAACCTACAGTATGTAAATTATGTGACTAGTAGTGTTTAAATCCTTTCACTTGATTCACAGTTTAGTATCCCACTAACACTGCTACACTTGCTCTTGTTTAAGAAACTGACTGTTATATAGCCATAAAATAGAGTACATCTCTCAAATGACATAATCCTAGATATGTATCTGTTTAACCTGGATGTGGTATGAACTTACATTGACAGTAGTGTTGCATATACAGTATGTGATCCCATTACAATGTATAATATGAGAGCATGTACATTTAATATTCTAAACAATTTACAAACATCAGTCTCACCTTGCGTCTCACCCCATCCTGTTACATAACATTCAGACCTGTCTGGCACCACATAATGTTCAGGCGGAAGGCAAACAGGGAGAACTTCATCTGTTATTAAAGCTGGGCTATGAAAGAAACATGTATCAGCTAATTCTTCAAATTAACAAATTGGAGCTTTATACAAAATTATAATCCTAGCAGTAGATATAAGCAAATTGATCTGCCAAATTAATATTTAACACCAATCAGTGCAATTTACGCAAGGTTAAGATCCACAGACATTTGGTAGTCCTTGTGGCATTTGCGGCCCAATGTTCCATGACATTTGTATACTGAAACACAAAACTTTGAGCTTATCCCCAGTGTGACAAGTACTAGATTCTTCTGCTCAACTATTGTCCTTAAAAGGTGTGTGTGGAATGGGGGGGCCTATGTGTAATTTAACTGTGCCATCTCACAGTGAACTGGCAAATGGGTCCATTTGACCTCTCACCTGTTCTCTACAGCACAAGTTAAGGGATAAAAAAAGCCCTGACACCAGAGTCTCAGAATCTTTACTAAAAGTGTCAGCAAAAGAATCTTCCTTATCATTGGTCAAGCCTGAGGAGTTGGTTCTAATAGACTTTTATGGTGCCCTCTACTGAACATCTCTAGCCTCAGAAAAAAAGACCCTAAAAGTCTATAAAGACTCACTGTGCAGACTGTTCATGATGACATTGGATTTACTGGTAACCTCATCCTTAGTCCACTATATTTCCTGAGCCAAGAAGAAGTTCTGCATTGTCCAGCTGGTTGTTGACTAGCTCTGTTGATACCTGCCATTTGTACCACGGTCATACAAGATTTTATGACCCAAATTACCCGTTTATATGCAGACTCGCGGAGGCCACAGATGCACTTCAATGCCATCGCCTGAAGATTCTATATTTGATTTGTTAGCAATCTTAGTGGCTTCTAAGCCAATGGCCGCTGAGACTCTGCCCTGCGGCCATTGACAAATGAGTCTTTGACTAATGAGCTTGTTTCTGAGGAGTCTTGGTCTACTGCTATTACTCCAAAAATTAAAGGAAACTGTTTTGGTTCTTATTGATGCAGCATGCACCACTCTGAAACCAGATCAGCCTGTTGCTCATAATAGAGCTGTTTGCAGCCTTGGGTCATTTAAAACATCCTAAGGCTGAAAAAACTTTCCCTTTGCAGCTGTTTTTCCAAATATTTCTCTATGGAGATTTGAAACATCCTGACAAGCTGTTTGCTATCTCTAAACATGTATTAGCCTTGTATCCATTCAGTAAGGATTTTGTGCAGAAGTGATCTATTCCCACTGTGGATCTGGCAGTGTCCCCCTTTTACAGGGCGCATACAATTCCAGTTAAGGATGGGCTGTCTTTAGGGGCCTGACCTTCATTTGATTGTGGCTGTGACCTTACTTTGTCAACCAGTCAAACCATTTTTGACTGGTTAAAAATCCCTTAAAAGAGATCTAACCACTGCAGAGGTCAATCTCTTGCTCATAGTGCACATGGAGAAGATCACTGTAGCGTTAAAATTCCAGCTGTCGGCTCCGAGTGAGTTTATGAGACATCCCTACATGCTACGGTGGGAGGGGCTGCTGGGATTGCCCATTATACAGGATCAATGGGAGAGTATTTGGAGAGCTGCATCTACATCCTCCATATGCTCCACCTACAAGGAAAGCCAGTATAAAGTACTTTATCACTGGTACCATACTACTGAATTTCTTTATAATATTTATCCCAGCGTCTCATCACTCTGTTTGCGATGTAAATCTCAAACCAGTTCCCTGTTCCATATCATCTGGCAATGTGGCCGAGTCAGGCCATTCTGGAGGAATGTCCAGTCTGTCTTGGAGGGCCTTCTTCACGGTAGGGTTCCGTTAGACCCCTTGAATTACTTACTGGGTCTTCCCCTTGAAGGGTTCCATAAATTGAATTAAAAAATTAGCATCTCATGTGTTAACAGTTGCACGCTGCCTAATAGCTCTTCACTGGAAGCGTAGTACTCCACCCGCAGACTCGGACCTCTATACCAGAGGACGTCCAAAAACTGGAATACCTGACTGCTAGGCTGAATAACAACTTGACCCTTTACAATAAACTTTGGGAAGCATGGGATGAACTGGAGCTTGCTGGCTCCACTGGATAATGGGGAACGGACGGTCCTGGTCCACTCTTTGGAGATATAAGGCCGAGTCGGTATCTATCTTCTACCCCTTCTACTTTTCTTTTCCAGGTTTCTTTCCTGGCTACGTTCCTCTATTTTTATTTGTTAAGTTTGCTCTGGCCAATAAGTCGAGCCGGGTGGTATTCTTCTTTACGACTTGAACCATTACAGTTCATTCCGAGTTATGTATACTGCCAAGACTAGTGAATATGTCGCAAGTAAAAAACCCATTTTTCCTTTATGCAAATTGTAATACCTGCTTGATAGTATTTTTTATTTAAGACTGGCTGCATTCATCTTTTCTTAATATTGGCTTGATACCAAAGTCGGTTTACTATGCATTGTACTGTGTCATGTACTGCAACATTGGCATTGTCCTGTGTATTCTTTGTTATTATTTTATTTTCTGAATATATAAATAAAAAATTGTTAATAAAAAAAATAAAAAAATTCCAGCTGTAAGGGTTTGCTAGAAGCATCCTCCATAATTTCTCACATGTGTCCAATGTCATTTCATATGTAAAGGACACTCTGGCTAAAGTGCTAGACTGTAGAGCCCACGTGCAAAAAGTGTTTGATCAGCATGGCCTTGGAGTGCGGATGTCTCTTTGGATCAACTCTTGACAATATCTTCAAGGATGCTACTGGTGGCAAGAGAACCGATTTTCCTCAGCAGAAGAAGCCCAAAGCACAGACTGCAAAGTCTTCTTCTTCCTTGTGTTTTTAAAAAAAACATCCCTTTTGTTTCTCCACTCCCTTGCCCCCCCTGTTGTTACTTCCCCTAGCTTGGCTCCCCTTCGACACACAATCTTTGGCACTCAAAGTCTGGGAAATCCTCAGACAACCCTTCCTTTGAGGGAAGGTGTGTCTATGGTAGTGTCTAGAAAACCAGAACACAGAAGTGCACTGGCGTAGTGTAGTAGTTAAAAAACTTTAATGTGAAAGGGTGTGTAGCCCCTATAGAGTTGCTACTAAACTAAATGTATTCCACCTGTGAAGAGGTAATTGTGCTGTGCAGCCTGTGAGGCAGAGGGACGTGCGAGTGTGTTAGTACAGAGCCAGGGATAAACTGTATCAACTTGAACTGATTGAAGTACACTTCCCAGCCAGGAGGCTTTGGCAGGGCCGGCCTTAGGGGTGTGCGAGCGGTGTGGCCGCAAGGGGGCCATGGCAACAAAGGTGCCAGGCGGCCGACACAGCTCGTCCTCGGGCGGCTTCTCTCCTCCTCACCGCTGGCCATCCAGCATGACAGCGCTCCTTCATCCGCCCCCCGGGGGGGGCGCAGAAGGGAGCGCTGCCTGCTGTCAGGATGGTGGAGCGGTGAGGGAAGGAGATCGGAGCCGCTGTCATCCTGTCAGTTTTAGGATGACAGCGGCTCTGTGAGAAAACCTTTTCATTCGTTTCATCAAACAATACACATTTTTATGCTATTTTGAATTCAGCCATTGGCGTGTTCTGGAGGCAGGGCGCATGACGTCATCTAACACCGCACGTGTTGGATGCCGCCACCAAGATGGCGGCGCCTATATCGGTGTGTAATGTCATGCTCCCCGCCTCCAAGAGGGTGGCATGCATTCACCGAACACGCCGGTGGCCAACATGACCGCCGCACATTCTCAAACAAATTATTATGTGCCTGAATAATTTTTTTGTATATTCAGTCAGATAATAATTCATTAATTTACACCTAGTCTAGGTTTTGTGTTCTGTTTTTATTTTTACTTTTCTAGATATACTTACTTGAAAAAAGGGATCGGCATAACAAACCTGGCACTTTATTTTTATAGACTCTATTTTAGTTTGACATTTATTGTTTGCCTTCTGTTGTTTTATTTGATAAGAATACTTATATTGTGCCTACAAGTTTAATACCTTTGAATAAAAGTTTTATTTTTATCATACTTTTTAATATATTTTTGTTTGCGGCTTAACAAAATAAGAGTCTTTAAATGGTGCGGATATTGGGGGAAATGGGTGTGGTTACTGGGGGTGTGGCCACTTATGGGTGTGGTCATTTCGGGGCGCTGTAAAGTTTTCTCGCACAGGGCGCCTAAAGGCCTAAGGCCGGCCCTGGGCTTTGGGAGGGTCTGCAGGAGAAGTGAACTTAGCCCGCTCTGCTGAGCAAGCTCAGAGGACGGGGAGGCTGTAGAGTGACTGGGCACACCACTCTAAGCTGCCAGCTTACACTACAGGAAGAGAAACAGCCCGTGTGGTGGATTGCACTGATTCCTGCCAGGCACTTGCTGTGGTGCAGGGGAAATACTCCATCTGTTCCCTTTTGAAGAGATTAATCATTGTTCCTCAGTAAGAGAACTGATTGCATAGAGGGGAACCAAAGCCTGGCAGGACGCATGGATCCTGGGACTGCTATATTAGCTGGGACATCGCCATCCTCATGCTGCAAAATGAATCCCGAGGAGACTGCACGTTTGCTACAGGAGACAGAGACCTGCCATCTCCTCGAACAGACTACTGCAAGAATAAAGGGAAGTTGGCTGGAGAAGGTAGGGATGCCCCCTTTTGCTGACCAACATAGGAGCTGTCATTCAAGTTGCAGGACAGGTGAGAGGCCTTTTGCCACCGACATTTATTAGAGTTAATTGGATCGCTAACACAGTATGGGCCCCAACATTGGCTAGCCTAAACTATTACTACTGGCCAGGAGTGCAGGGAGCTGGGGGATATTGGGGACTGAGCTATTAGTAGCCCAGTATCCAGAGTCAGTGAGAATCTATTCAGATAGCTCAACACTGTATATTGTATTAATTAGACAGCCGCAGCTGCAGAGTGTTTGAATACCAACATAGTGTTTATTACATGCTGTTTATCTTAGCTACTGCTCTTTATTTCCTTTGTTGGTCATATAAAGAACATTATTTGTTCAGATAAGCTTTTACAAAACCCCACAAGGTGTGTTGGTGTGCAGTGGATCCTGTCTGTGCGAGTTCCTGGAGTGGGACAGAAGAACCTGCTTTTTTACCAGCTCCTTCAGGGGTGAACGCTGCATGTGAATAAAAAAAATGAATGCATTCACAAATGTATTTGTTGTGTAGAAGCCAAAATGCAACTATAGGAATGATAGTGGGGGAACTGCCTAGATATTCTCAGGATGGAGCTGCTGTATCAAAAACGGAAAGCACTGTGTCCAGAGAGCAAGCCGGTGTGATCCTCTGTCCTCCTCCTTCATATCCCAGTCAGTTCTGCTTCCTCTAGTGCCTCTGTTCCACATACTACTGCTGCGCTAGGTACGTGTTTTGGAAAGAACACCTCCTCTTCATCAGTCTAAGCACTATTCGGCCGAAGATTTTAGCAAAACTTAAATTAATGATTACCTTCTGCCGAAGGAAAAGGCAAAAAGCTCAGGTCATTTTCTTTAGACAGCATTAAAAACTTGTTCTAATTCACAACCACTTTTATCCCCCCCCAAAAAAACAAAACAAAAACAGTCAGCTGAAGTTACACTTTAAACTGCGAGTATGATTATGGTGCATTAGAGGAAACTGGAGTTCCTGAGGAAATTATGGTAAACATAAACCACTAATTTAATTGATAATTTGCTGCAGGGATATTTATTCAGTGCTTACAAGTTAGTTATCCATGTAATGCAATGATAAGCATAGGTTAATTTCTATATCAATTAATATAATGTAAGAATTACCTCTTTAGCTTCAATAGTGCTATATCTGCATTTGATGGTTCCAGTATTAACTTTTCCACATCTCGAACTTGCTTGGATGGTTCATTGCCAACTTCTTTATGGATTCCAAGATGTATTTTGTAAGATGCTGGTTTGTTGGAACTGTTAAACAATAAGTGGGCAAACATCTGTTTGTTTACTATGTTTTATTCCGACATGTTGAATGATAGGATACGTTGTATTGTATTGGAAATAATGGCAGTATGAAACAACAATTTTGTGTATACAGTGAATCATTCATCTTTGTATACAGAACACCATTTACATATATAAATAGTGTTTGCCAAATCAGGTCCTCGAGGACAATTAGCAGTGCACTTTTTCCACACCTTTAGGCAGCACAACTGGTTTAATTAGCAGCAAGTTAAAATGGCCATGATGAGGTCATCCACACCATGCCCAAGGCTTGCAAGGCCACATCTCATAATATTTATCCTTTTTGGAAGATGCATTTTGGGTGGTCACTAGGGGTATACCCTAATTCCTCACTTATAGCCTCATTTCCTGGCTTTTTCCAACATGGGGTGGAGCAGCAATTGGCCTTATAAACACAATTACACAACAGGGTCAGGTGTCAGTGTTGGCTGTCTTATTTCAATGCTCTCTGGCATCGCTGCTTTGTCCACCCCTGTATTCAGGGCATTACGCACCTTCAGTTATGCCACCATTGTCGCCATGGGACTTCATAGTTGGTGTTGAGATCCTGCTGTTGACACTCTATAGGAAAGTGGCATTCCTAGTAGCCATAACCGTAGAGTCTCTGAACTGGCGGAGTTGTCTTGCACGTCTAAATTTTTGGTCCTTCACAGAGATAAAGTCATGCTGCATCTGAGACTCTCTTTCCTGCCCTAAGGTGATACCTGCGTTCTAGTTGAATGATGATATTGTGCTTGCATCCCTTTTCCAATGTAGGTGTTGTGGCACTGCTTTGGAAGATTCAAGTAGATGATGATTTAAAGTAGAACTGTGCTCTCCAATGAATGAAGAATAAAATTGTACAGTAATATTCTTTACTCTGCATTCATTGGTGGACACAGAACCAACCCCTCTGCCATTGCTGTTGCCTTAATGTTTATTTTTTAGTTTTTGCACTACTGTGTCATTTAACTGAACTTGTTCCACAGTGTGGGGGGTTTTGACCACCAGCAGGAGCCCCTATTATCTTTTGTTTTGTTATTTGTTCCTAGCATCCTACTGTGCAGGTGGCACTATACCCAATAGGTGATGATCTACAGCAGAGCTGTGTTCTCCAGTAAACACAGAGAAAATGATTTTATAGTACAAATACCTCTTTTCTTTTAAGGTATACAAAAAGGTTTATTTTTAATAAATGTATGTATTTGATGTTACCAGCCAGGTGCAATGTATAAGAAACATTGCTAGAGGTAGAATTAATTTGTGATTTTGAATTTAATTACTAAATACTATCCATACCGCTCTAAGCAGTGCTTTGCTGTGAGAACCCATTCACGGTCAATCAATGTTCCTCCACAGAAGTGCAGATTATAGCTGGAAGACAAGGAAATATTTCAGTGCACACTGATGCTTATAGAAAGGCAAAATGACTCACAGGCAAAAAAATTATATCCAAAATTTAGTGATAACGAAAGAACTAAATGGGAGACACGTGCATGCAATTTCTTATAGATAGTATATAAGTCAATTATAGTTGCAGAATTGCCATTTTGCCAAGACATATATGGTTGCATAGCTATGTGAATGAAGTGGTTTGCCTTTGATTTTGTTTTCTCACTTTAGTTGAACTATTATGGCTCATACATGTGCGCATCAGGACATAATGAACAATGCAAGTTCATGGCACCTGCTATACAAAAGCATTTTAAGCCTACTGACTCAGTGAGTATATATACTCCTGTATATATACTGGACAGCAAGGATTCTTATTATAGAATGCTCATTTTGGATTTCAGTTCTTACAATAATGTAATTCAACAAACTTTGATAGTCAAAGTGATATTACTTGGACTAACTCCATCTTTCTGTAACTGGACATTGGATTGTTTGACAACTTGGCCCCAGTCTGTTAAGATCCATGATATTTTACCATTTCCCGTTATTCTCAATGTAGGTTCTCCACGGGAATGTGTATTGGGCTCATTACTGTATTATTATTATTAGGGATGCACTGATAACGATACAGGTATCGGTGCCGAAACTGAGGATTTGGGGCGAGTACAGTGTCGCAAGGGAGCATGAAGCCGGCTTCATGCTGCCTAGAGACACTGTGGGGCAGTCTGGCTTCCAGACAAATTAGGAAGCCGGGCGGCGGGTCATGATTGGTCAGAAAGCCAGGCTGTCCCACAGAGTCATGAGGCAGCGTAAAGCCGGGTTCCGAGGCAATCCGTAAGCCAGGCGGCGGGTTTCCTGACTGGCCGGGAAGCTGGGCCCATGCTACTTCGCTACCTTAAGTTGCCGGTTAAAACAAATATCGGTACTTGTACTCGACACTGATAAGCCGGTATCGGTGCATCTCTAATAATTATAATACAGGATTTATATAACACCAACAGTGTGTGCAGCACTTTACATACTGCTGACCTATGATTGCACAGCTAAGTATCTGTGCAATCATATTGTGAAGTTTTCAGATGACAAGACAGTAGTGGAACTTATCACTAGTTGGGATTTATCCAAGTATAGACAAGAGGTGAAGGAATTAAAGGGTTGGTGTAAATATTTTATAACAAAGGAGATGATTGAACATTTTGGGAAGACCAGCACCACTCTTTATATCGGGGGTACATTACTCTGATAATTTCATCTGGAGTACTAATGTAGTCAGCATAGTAAAGGAGGCCCACCAACACATTTGTTTTTTGAGGAGACTAAAGTGTGCTTGTCTTGCCACTTTAGTCCATATTTCCATTACAGGTGTTAGGTGGCGAGCATCCTGAGTTCTCGCATCACAGTGTGCTGTGGTAACAGTTTCACTGCAGACAGACAGACATTGCAGAGAATGGTAAAGTCTGCATAAAGGATTACTGGCAGTAGCCTACCCACTATTAGTGATATTTACAACAGGTGTAGGGACAGGGCCTAAAATATCACAAGGGAACCTATTTATCCTGCATTTTAATTGTTTGCTCCTCTTCCTTCTGGCCGCAGGTTACACAGCATCAGAGTCAGAATGACTAGGTTAAGAAACAGTTTTTTTTCCTGATCTCCTTAGCTTAAATTCCCAATGACACTGAAATTGCTTCTATTATCATTATTATTCTAGTATGGGGTATTGCTGGGTAGTAAGGTGGATAATTCTCATGTTACTAAAGTGTAATTTTAATAAATACTCTGCTGCTTTTATGTATTAATGCTGCTTACATTAAATAGCTGTTGCTGAGTATTATTATTTATTGTTATAGTTTATAAATATATATTTATTATTATTTGTGTAGTATGTGTTTTGTCTTGATTTTATTAATCTTTCAACTGGGGCCTGAGTACCTTATATCATTCCCTTTCATGAGAAACATGTTTTGGAATGAGAATGAAAAAAAATCTATACAAGAATAGCACAAACTATAGTGTAAGTTATACTGACTGAAGGGTGGGGGGATAAGATGTAGCTATAACCAGAGCTTATCACAGTGTTTTTCAACCTTTTTTGTGCAAAGGCACACTTTTTTCATGAAAAAAATCACGAGGCACACCACCATTAGAAAATGTTAAAATGTTTTACCTCTGTGCCTATATTGACTATATATATTATCAGACCTGTGGTTTCATTTTGAAGAAACAGAGGGAAGGTCATTATCTAGTAGCACTTGCATGAACTTTAGGATTCTAATGTTCTGTATGCCTTTTCTTGAAATGTATAGAATAGAGTAACATTTACCTTGTTCGAAGACTAATCTGCCAAGGCCAAGAATGTGCATATGATTCACACCCACCAACAATTCTTCCAAAGCACTTTCTTTGCTTTCTTTTTGGCTTTCCGCACTCAATTTCTGTTGAGGCTTAAACAGTAAATATATTAAAAGCATATTAGTGAAGGACTAGCACATAACATTCCTTAACCACTTTAGCTATCATACAGTTATACCACTTAAAGACCTGAAGAATTCAACAATATTTACACTGCTGTTAATTTAGCCAAAACCTTCTCATTATGTAAGATAAGAAAGTGATACATACATTGTTTTGTTGGGAAAGGAAGGGGGAAGGGGGGATAAGATCTAAAAAAAAGTGTTTTTTTTTTTCTATTTTGTGTTAGCTATTCAAAAAGTAGTTTTACTGAAAAGAAAAAGTACACATTTTTGTTATACAATTAGTTCTGTTTTAAGTGACACTAAAACTTGTTTCTGGTACAAAGCATGGTAATGCTATTTACAAATTAACAAAAGCCATCTGTTTCCAATTCTGCAACACTGAAAAAAATAAAAAGCAAATTAATTTAAATGAAAAAAAATATTGAAATATTAATGTTAACAAAATAGAAATAAAAGTAAACTTAGCAGAAAAATATTATCTAAGGGGAGAAGGGGAGAAAGAAGTTATGTAGGGATAATTATGGTTAACTAAGAATAGATTTTATTTCATTTTTTTTTTGCAAGGGTGCTTTAACTGATGTCATATGCAAATCAAAGGTCACACTTTTGATCTACATATGAATGAAATAGTAACTACAATACATGGTTACATTGTATTTTTTCAATCACACTTTAGGATTATCTGCAAGTGTCATTTTATTCATGCTATGTAATACATAGCAATTCCCGGCTGTCATTTTGACAGTCGGTAGTCACCAGTAATAGAAGCTGAGGAATGGGGGCAGGGGGAGAGGAGCTGAACTCAAAAGATGAGTCCTGGAGACTTTATTGGAAATTGTTAGGGTGTATATCTACTACATTCAAAATCCTCAAGTGGTTAATGATTGTAGCCAAATTCAGTTACACTCTGTGAGGCACATATTCAGTAAATGCACAACCCTTGCTTATGCAGAAATGCTTTCTTTTCAAGTCAATAGAGTTTGAATCATGCATGCCCAGGAGGGGGTGTAGTGCTGGACTGGGAAGATTCTTAAAAGAGACTGCACAGAGTGTTGACCGTGCTGCACTATGGAGTGTTTCAGTAAATATATAGTAGCAGGCTGTTATAACTTTTTGGCCAATAGCCATCCATTGGTGCAGAAAGTTTGGAAATTAGGATGATATGTTTATTTGGTTAACTTAGATTTTTAGAAATGCAAGCATTTCTTCATCACATGTTATGCAATAGTAGGTCTGAAAACCACTGGAACCTTATGTGCTATGCCAATGTTTTGTGTTATCTATCTTACATTCCCAAACCCATGCAATGTAAAGGCCTGCCTAAAAAATCTATTCAATTTGTATGCAATCAGTCAGACCCTTTCAGTACATAGTTTTTGGTGTCATATACAGTATATCATTTTATTTTATGGTTTCAGTTTTTCTTCCTAATAATAAGTATGTAGTTTTTAGATCCAGTGTTGTATAATGCCTGATAAAAAAAAAAACTAACATGTTTCAATAGCTTGCATCTTTAAAAACTTCAACTACCCAATAAATATACTGTATCTGGTACGTATATCAATAGGTTGGGAGGGTAATTGGAAAAATATAGATGCACTAAAAATGCACTTATCCTTTAAAGAGTGATAAAGGGTCAAACAGCCCTAATCTTTTTTGTGAAAGATTAGTGATGGTTTAATTTTACAAAAAAAACCCTACCAATCTCATTCCAAAAGGTGGCACCAAGGCCAATGTAAATGTACAGTAATAACACAATTTCTAACTTAAAATGTATGCATATAAGAAAATGATCACGTGTAATTGAAAATTGCAGTAGCTAAGTTAGGAAGAAAGCACAAGAGTAATACTTATGAACTCTTTGTAGTTTCTCAGAGATTACTCTAAATTCTAAGGCTTTGTGTTATCTTGTATAAGCAATGAAATGGGTATGCAGAACATTTACCACAAGCAGGAATTTCACAGTAATCCCAACTGACTGGGCCAGGGTTTGTTACAAAGCACCATGGGCCATTTATATCTCCATCTGGGTTCCTGCAGTACTGTCATTAGAGAACACAAAGGTATGTATTAGGACTTTAGTAAACTAAAATGGTACCTATTTTATAGCAAATCATTTATTGATACACCCTTTTTAATATATAGTAGTTACAGTTTTAAAGCTAATCAGCTAAAAATTACTTCAGTAAAATGCTGATTAAGGGCCAGTGGGGATTATGTGCTTTAACTGGTAAAAGCAGCATGCGTTTGACATCAGTTTAAGACTATTCTGAGATTATTCAGTTTTATTTGCAGGTGCATCTGAACTGCAACTGGCCTGCTTCAAGCTGTAATACTTATACCAAACAACTGTGGTACAAAGGGAAAAGTATCCATCTATATACCAGCATGGAAAATCTATCTATCTATCTATCTATCTATCTATCTATCTATCTATCTATCTATCTATCTATCTATCTATCTATCTATCTATTCACATACATATACAGTACATATATACAGTACATATACCACATACTTGTAAACACTTTATTGTGAAGTATATACACTTTATACACATACATGCATACACACTGTATTTTTAGTATATGATATTACATTAATTTACTTTTAGTATATGATTTTACATTATCATTATCTGATTCAAGGTCAGTGACACATGTACTAATTTGTTTATTCTCAAACAATCTTACATTTTTATCTAATCCAGCTTCTGGATGAGTTATTGGTGTAAAACTGTTGTGTGTCTGAGGTGTTTGGGAACTCCACTCTTGACAGGTATATCCTTTAACAGTGACCGATCTTGTGCCACGATAATCTTGACCTTTACCAATAATGCAGTCTGACAGAAATAATAAATGAAACTAGTTAGCAATGTATTGTGCATTGGACTTAGCTTTGTGTGTTACTCACAAAATAAGGCATTTCATTTGTCTAGTTCCTTGGATATTTTAAACCAAAAGAAAATTGAATGCATGTGCATACTTTCAATTTGAATCCTGATAAGAAATAAAGAGAGTAGATTGGTATTAAGGAACTGGCAAGTTACTAAAGTGCACCAGACCATAAAAAGATCTCTGCACATACTGTACCTATTGTAGTCCTTTAGAACAGCACAGGAGCTCTGAAGACCTGTACTGATGTTCTGGTGCCACTTTCCAACATTAGAATTTATTGCATTTATTGAAGATTTACGTTAAAGAGAGTATTATATGTAGCACTGAATACACTAACAAAAATTGTATAGTCTAATACATTGGAAATATCACTTTGAACATAATGGGGCCTATTTAAAAATGAAAACAGGATTTAAAGGAGAACTATGAGGTGAGTGCTTTTCACTCACCTCATAGTTCTAGCCGATCTGTGACAATGAGACTGTCACAGGTCTGCTCAGTAGATCGGGAGGTGAGCGAACTCATACCGGCGTTCGCTCACCTCTCGATCCTATCACTGCTCTCTGCCGTGACAGGGGAGGGGCTGGATTCCCCACTCCCCGATCCGATCCAACGGCGTCTCAGTATACTGAGCCTGGGGTGATGGGAGGACGCTAGTTTGTGTTCTCCCGTTACCCTAAGGAGAACTAGGAAAGCCTTAACCCATAGTTCTCCTTTAACTTAGCTGTAAAATCAGTTTCTTGGAGTTTATCGCAGGACACAGGGAGGTAATTCTGTGCAGCTGTCATCAGGTGATTGGACATAGGCAAAACTGTAAGGACAGCCTTGCATAATCCATCCCACTCCCAGCTTGCCTCAGTTTTGTAGCAAGCAGTACAAGAGTAAGTCACAAAAAACAGAGGGAAGGGTCCTGTGATCCCTGGTCCTGGCAACAAACTTGTACAGCTTGTGGTTGAACCTGAATGCCAGAAGGCCTACGTCTAATGTCCTCCTCATGTGACAAAGGGCCCAAAACACTTCTGCTTGAAGGAACCATTCTGTGTGGTCCAGACATTGATGACTGAGGAAATCCATCTGTTAATTTCCCATGCCAGGGATGTGCACAATGGACAGGGCTGGGATGTGAAGGTCTATCCAACCAAGAATCAAGTCCACTCCTTTTTGAGCTGCTCAACGTTTGGTGCCTCTCCGATGGTCCATGCAAGCCAGGTCTCCTCCCCAGCCAGATAGCCTGGCATCCATGGCATTTTAAGCACATTTCAGACAATTGGAGGGAAGTATTTCCCTAATTCCACCATGCCAGAGCAAGACAGGACTTGCTGGACAAGCGAATGAGAAGGTTCAGAGGGACTGAACCTGTTTGCCCTGTGCAGCCAGAATGCTAAGCTGCAACAGCCTGCAGTAAAACTGAGCACAGTGGGCTTCCTCAAAGGAGTCTGCCATCAAGTCTAGCACCCTCATAAAAATACAAACTGTTGGGCGATCTCTGGACCACAAGGTCCAAGCATGGGAACAGAGAGAAAACCCAAAATGCAGTGTTATGATCTGCCATTGTGGGGAAAACCTCAGCTTTCACTACTGTGGAGGCTGGAGGGCACCTTGTGTCCCAACACTGCAGGCAAGAACAGTAACCCAGCATAGCTGTTCAGATATGCAGGTGTATGCCGCTAGGGAAGTTGGATATGGAGAAAGATTTGGGGGTCATTGTAGACCACAAACTGAATAATAGATTACAGTGCCAGGTTGCTGTAAGCAAAGCTAGTAGAATCTTGTCCTGCATCAAGAAGGGAATGTTTTGCAGGGATAGGTCTATCATTTTGCCACTTTACACATCAATGGTTCGGCCCCACCTGGAGTATGTGGTGCAGTTTTGGGCACCGGTCCACAGAAAGGATGTCCTTGAACTGGAGAAAGTCCAGCGGAGGGCGACCAAACTCATAAAGGGGATGGAGGACCAGAGCTATGAGACACGGCTACTAAATTTACACATGTTTACGTTGGAAGTAAGGAGATTAAGGGGGGACATGATTTTCATGTACAAAATGTTCCATAGTCATAGCAACATTAGCAACAAACTCTTTGAGATTAATTCCGTAACAAAGATTAGAGGACACCACCTAAAACTGGTAGAAAAAAAATTCGAACACAAGGGGCGAAGGGGGTTCTTCTCAGTTCGCGCGGTTAGGGTCTGGAACTCCCTGCCTCAATTAATCTGGAATCATTCAAGAGGCTTTTGGACGACTTCCTGAGAGACCGAAATGTACAAGGGTAGAGGTACTCTTAAGAATGAGAACACTCATGGACCTATACACACACACACACATACACACAACAGGTTGGACTTGATGGACTTATCTCTTTATTCAACCTCAAATACTATGTTATAATATCTGGATCTCCTGTATAGTATCGCAGAGTTGCAGCACCAGCGGTAGCAGCATGTGGACAGCTCAGCATATGCCAGGAGGAGGGAAATTGAGGGTTCATATGCAGACTAGTGCCCCAGAGGGAGGCTGTGCGGGTGCTGTGTGGCTCCACAGGCTGCCTATGGAACTTAAAGAAATGGGGCCAAACCTACAAAAAGAGAGACAGCAGCTTCCGTTCCCAAAAAAAGTCTGAAATTATCCACTATAGGGAATGAAGGGACTGCTACAGTGGACACCTCCCCCACACTAAATTTGTCCTACCCCTCCCTGCTCAAAACCTTTTGCGTAACCTGCCAGTCGCTAGATACAGCGCACATGCTGTATCCAGCTTTGACATATTCCGCTATTAGCGTAGCAGAAAAGCTGGGGTCTCAGGTGGGCTCTGCAAGGTCTCTGGGGGGCTGTGCAGGATCTGTGGTGGGCTCTGCAGGGTCTCAGGGGGGCTTTGCAGGATCTGTAGTGGGCTGTAACCACAGATCCTGCACAGCCCCCCTGAGACCCTGCAGAGCCCACCATAGACCCCCACAGAGCCCACCACAGATCCTGCACAGCCCACCTGAGACCCTGCAGAGCCCAGCTGAGACTCTCAGGTAGGCTGTGCAGAATCAATGCTGGGCTCTGCAGGATCCCTTTACCACAGTGTGATCCTCTTACCTGCATCTGCTGTCCTTCACCGCCTGCTGGTGGACTTGGCCTCCTTCACCACCGCGCCGGACTAGTGCTGCTTGGTCCCCGTCCTCCTCCACCGCCCAACCGGCGCTTCGAGGATTCGGCCTCCTCCGCCGTCCGACCAGCTTTTCGGGAACCCGGCTTTCTCCGCCGCCCGACCGGAGCTGCGGGGACCAAGACCCGACCCCCTCCTACTGCTCCTCCACTGCTCCTCCTCCTCGATTAGGCAGTGCAGCCCAGCTCTCCTGACTGTCTTGGGCGTGGCATTTTTGCCGACCCCCAGAAAGTGCTGCTCAAGGTAAACGCCTTGTTTGCCTTGCAGCAGATATGCGCCTGAATACAAGTGAGTGCCCCATGCAGGATCCAGTGAACACATTAATGCACATCTTCCTTTTGATAGTGTCTGGGTACAGACCACCAAGGCTCTGCCGAGGAAAATAACTAATCTAGATAGCTGTTGCTTTTTGCCACAGTGCTTGTGAGCAACAAGGTTAGCTTGCTAGAAGAGTCTTGAGCAGAAAAGTGCAAACAAATTTGTGCTTCTCTGAGAGCAGAGGGAAAGTGTCCATCTCCTAAGAACACTAGCAAAAAACATAGGCAGGCTGTAAGTGGGAGGGTTTATACAGAGCTGTCCTTAAAGGAGAACTATGGGGTTAGGGCTTTTCCCCTTAGTTCTCCTTAGTGTAACGGGAGGACACAAACTAGCGTCCTCCCGTCACCTTAAGCCATCTGTTCCGCCAGTCAGCGCTGGAGGATCAGAGCGGGGAATCCAGTCCCTCCCCTGTCACAGCAGAGAGCCGTGACAGGATCGAGAAGTGAGCGAACGCCGGTATGTGTTCGCTCACTTCCCGATCTACCGAGCCGACTTGTGACAATCTCATTGTCACAGGTCGGCTAGAACTATGAGGTGAGTGAAAAGCACTCACCTCATAGTTCTCCTTTAAGGTTTTGATTTGCCAGTGTCCAGCCGACTGAAGGTAGCTGCATAAGCCATTGGTTTGAGAAATAACTCCATGTGTCCTGTGATGTACCATCAAGAAAAAAACTTTTATTTTTTTCTTCTTCAGTGCACAGCAGTCAATTTGACCCCATTTTGTCGCTACAATAGTCTCTGCTTTATAAAAGTTTAAAACTGCAAATTATTTGAAATACATAGTTCTCCTCACATTCTCTCCATTGAAAATAATGGATTGTATCTGGTGTAGAGTGGCATAAATCTGCAAAACTTTAATAGTAAGAAAAGGATAAAAATCCTCATAAATTGCCACAGTTATCTGCAAATTAGATTTTTCTGTTTTTTCACCACTGTTAAAATATAATGAAATTGAACAAGGGAGTTGACCGAAGCAGATTTACAGATAGTTAAAAGTTTCTATCCTCATCCCCCAAAAAACAGGCAGAACAAAGTTAGCCATTAGAGGTTAGGTAGGTTACTTAGAGCCCACCTCCAAGCACAAAAAATTACTACCCCTGCAGTGAGGCCCCCATACTGCAAGGGTTACATGCTTCTTTTTGCCTTTCGGTAGCGGTAGAGATAAGTTGCAATACGTATTCCTTGCTCTGGCAGGGTCCCTCCATCTGTGTAACCATCCTTTGAAGCCTCCTCTCTAAACGCTTCTGGCAATTGTCACACCCCTGCCTCCTCTACAAACGGCAGGGTTATTAGCCCTGCATTATACGTGATTATGCCAAGGGACTGCCCACAGTCTGGTGTGACAGGCAGAAGAGGAGAGCACTGGGGAAGTGGGAAGACTACAAGAGTATTTTTTCAGCCTGGAGATGGGGTTTAAAGTGTATTTATAGCCAAACTTTTTTGCTCTAGTTTTGGATAAAATAGGAAAAGGTTAGGTTCTTTTTTTGCTGTCTGTGTCTCTCTTGGGAGATTTTCCCTTCACTTTCTGTCTTAGAGACACAGCAGAAAATGTCAAAAAGTGAACCATTTTAAATAGTTGTCAATGGAAAATTTCACCTATCAGATATTTATCCTCATCTCCTAAAACTCTAAAACTATAGATTTTTTTTCACACTTTCTGTCTCAGTGAAACCAGGAAAAATAGAGGGGTGCATCTCAAGACAGTTGGGCCTGTTTATAATAATTCAAAATGCTGCATGACACAACACATGGTATAGCATCCAGCATAGTGCAATTATGTGTGTTACTGTGCACTGCAAAGAAACAAGCACAAGAGCGATTTCTCTTGCACTGGGCCCAATTCAAAATGAATGAACTGCAGTAACACGCATGCTGCAGTGCAATATAAGGATCAGTGACACCCATGAATTACTTCAACAAAAGTGCGAATGGACCCTAAGTGAATTTAAAGAATGTTTTTGAGTGCACAAATAATGCATGCATTGGTAACTGGGTGTGTTTTATCAGGTGTGATGCAATATGACAATTGAATAAACTAAAGGAAGATTCAAGTGTATACTATGGGGTCTATTCACGAAACTGCCGAAGGATCTAGCAGTAGCTTCGGCCGATCCTTCAGCTAGCTTCGGCCCCAGGACCCCTTCGGTTCAGTAGAACTGAAGGGGTGCTGTACGGGCTATTCACTATAGCCCTACTGCTCCCGAACGTGGCCGAGCGGCTCAGTCGAGCCGAACGCATATGCCTCGGCTCAGCTGAGCCGCGCTGAAAGCCGAAGCTGGCCGAGCGGCTCCCGGCTGCCCAGGAGAGAAACACTGCTACTACGGCTGATTTCAGCCGATATACGTCTGAAATAAGCCGTACCAGCCTGAAGTGAATAGGCGAACAGTGTTCGGCTCACTTCACTTCAGGTCGGTCATTGACTCGGCTGCCTACGGCAGCTTAGTGAATGGACCCCTATGTGTGTATTGGTGATTATACTATCTTCAATTTAGAAAGTAACAACTGGAGTGTTTCTCTGCTTGCCTGGACTGGTAGATACAGGTGTAGGCTTTGTTGTCTGTATAGGCTTCTGTTCAACAGATGGTACATCAGTGCATTTCTTCAGGCTACAATACTCCCATCGTACATGAGGATCTGTGGTATAGCACCATGGGCCTTTGTCATTATCTGGATTTCTGCAGTAATTCTTTTCCAGTCCCCTGCAAATATAAATGTAATGTGTAAGATACGTTTTTTCCTCCAAGGGAAGTTGCACCAGGGTTTAGAACCATGTTATACCTGTAATTAATAAAAAAATAGGAAACAAGAGAAAGTGTATTTTTTATTGTTAAACAGAATAAAATGGAATCTAGCAAAATAATCTTATTATATAGCAAACTTCTAGCTATAAAAGCTTTCTTTTAGGACAAATGTTAGAACTTAGGCAGACTGTCTGTCTTAGTTCTATCGCAACTGTGCTTTTCTAGGATGTTTATCCTCTGTAATAAAGGCAGCATAAATATGGGGATAAATTATACATCATGTAAGAAAGCAATCTCACTTACGCATTTGGAAATTTGTCATGTGTCCTAGTATGTGCATGTGGCACATGAGAGCTCCAGTCCTGACATCTTTTACCAGAGATCGTCATGTAAGTTGTGCCTCGGTAATTCCCTCCATTACCCTCATAACATTCTGATTCTACTGTAGGTGCGGTAGGCGCAGGTATAACTGTACAGAAAAGCGTAATAATTTATCTTTATTTAAATGAATACAATCTACTATGCAAGTACAAGTACATCTACAGATACTTTTTCAGCTCCAAGACTAGACTAGAGAAAAATTCAAAAGTTAGGAGGCAGCTGTCATTTTTAAAGAGCATATGGAGCTCTTGGGATTTGTGCATCCCTGTTTTAATGTATGATTTTTTTTAAATAAATGTGCACCAATACCATTTTTTCAAGTACGGATACTTGTCCAAGTACTCACAGATACAAGTATTAATACATTTTTGTTTATTGTCATGTGACAGTTTTTCTAAAACAACACCGACTAATGATTTCAGGACAGTGGTGGAGCGCCAGAGCCAAGTCCCAGCTGCAACCCCTGCAACCCTGGTAGTTCTCCTGAAAATGCCAAGTATCAGCACTGGTATCTGAACTGGTATCTGGACAGCCCTAGTAAATATTTAGATTCCAAATTGGAACACACCTATCCCCTTTGTCTATCACAGGTCACTAGTGGCCCCTCAATGTGATGAGTGGACTCACTGACCAATGATGACATGCAGGAAGCCGATGCGGGCTGACCAGAGCTTGAGTTTTGAGTTGGAGGGGAACTTGACTAAGAGTGCTTTGGGACACCCAAACTCATCAGTAACACAATTAAAGTGCTTTGTAGTCCTACTACTAGTTTAGTAGGTTTAAGCTAAGCACAGGTATACTTTAGAAATCCAACTCCACTATATTAAAAATATTACACTACTTAAAGGCTGCTTAGAGGCAGTCTCTTAAAGACATTTGCTTGGCTCACCTTCACATACATTTTTAAATAAATAAAGTGTGGGGAAAACTGGCCCACAGCAAACAGAGACAAATGACCTCATGGGGAAGAGTAGCAGCTAGACAAGGTTTCTTAACCCTACCAGTTACACTTTCCCCCTAGAGTGGTCCTTTTTTGGATGCCTGCCTCTACCAATTGCTTCCTGATTGCTTCCTGATCCAGGCATCTATTGTCTATGTCCAGCTTTAGTCATATGATAAAATATATTTCTGTAATTTATTTAATTAAAGCAAATGCTGAACAACCATATATTTTATTACAGTATTACAACAGAGTTCGCTATCTACTACGGGGTAGAAAATTAATATTAAGGTCATGGTTGGTTGGTTAGATCAGTGTTTTAACCTTTTTTTAGTCATGGCACAAATTAAAAGTATGCAAAATCTCAAGGTACCCCAGTTCTAAAATGTAAAAAGTAGAGACCCTACACAAAATGGTGGGGTTCCCTCTTCACATCTGAACCTCTCCTTCAACATAAGAGTGCCCCTTTACATCAGCAATCCTGCCTCATACTAGGAGCCCCCCTTCTACATCAGAGGTCCCCCTTCGCATCAGAAGCCTCTTTCAAAGCAGAGTCCTACAATCACATCTGAAACTGCAGTAGCATGGCAGAGGGCGTAAGGTGGAGTAGGCCTGGAAAGAGGCGGACATTTATCCTTTTCTGAATGGATCCCACACTCTCCTGTTCTAGAGCTGTTACTGCAGTGATAGACCAATTGTGCTTTCTGTCAAGGACACAGGATCACAAGACTGGCTGCAGAGGATTACCTACCCACAGAAAAAAACATTACTCATATAAGCATATAGTATTTTTAGCACATTGTCTGGAGTTCAGTATTTACTATATAGATTCCAGTGTTTATCATTTTTGATTATATTTAAATAGGCATTATCATGTTTACCATCCTCACCACTCCTTCCTCTGTCACAGCTGCTGCCAAAATACCAATTTTCATATGGTGTTGGAGCTCAGAGGGAGCGGTGTTGTCCATCATGAGACAGTCCTTAGGCCTATCAAATTTCTGCTAGACCCAATCTTTGCATCATGCGAGAGGGTCACATGCTCGCCAATACCCAGAAGCACCAGGTATTTTGCAGTAGCAGCCACAGAAGGAAAAGGAGGGTAGTGCTGTAGATGTGAATATAAGGTGGTCACTGCCACTTTGCCCTGAATGGACAAGTTGACATTGTTTCTATAAATATTTCTTATATACATTCATTGTGAAACAAAAATAAAACACGATATATTTTAATAACATAATGTATTTACCAGCAGGCTGTGAATCACAGCTAGGTATTTCACAATATTCCCATCGTCTTGATTTGTCTGTGGTATAACACCAGGGCAAGGACTCACCATCAGGGTTTCTGCAATAGTTTTTTTCTAGATTCCTAGGAAAATATATATTTGCATTAGAAAATATCAGATCTGTATGTCAATATCCAGATCTAAAAGGTATAATGCAGATGAGATGAGAGGTTTAAACTGAACATGCAAATTAACTTTACTGTATACCCTTACAGACTTTCATCACCATTATTTCTTATTTCTCTGTTTTTTATTCTCAGTCCTAGTTAACCCAGGCAATAAACTCTGGCTAACTCTCTGGCACTTTGCCCACCTGGTTGAATTTTACCCTTTGCTACAAACTGGTCTAAATGACTGGAACCTTAACGTGCTTATCTGCCACTTGCCACCAGTGAGACTCTCATGAAACACACCATTTTGCCTTCTATATAAGTTATGATCCCACTACCAGAGGCTTTGGTGAAGATCAGGTAGATCCAGAGCCTACATCTTCAGGGAAGCATATTTACATATTGTGTGTGTCTCTAGGCATCCACAGCCATACTCTTCAGTCTGTATGGATCACAGTCTTCTTCTGGGACCCTCACAAAATGATATTGAGTGAGGGACCCTTCACACTTGTCTCCTCCGCTAGTGTGCGGAAGCACATTAGCATGCACAATTTCACAGGGTAATGTGTGTTGCATTTAGACATCACATTGTTTTAATAATTTAAAATAGGCTGCCAATGCATAGTAATGGAAGGAACACAGGCACTGCACCTTTATTCGAACACAGCATGTGTGTTGTTGAGTGCTGCAGTGCAGGCCTACTTTACTTAAAGGAGAACTATGGGGTCAGGGCTTTTCCCAATAGTTCTCCTAAAGGTAACGGGAGGACACAAACTAGCGTCCTCCCGTCACCCAAAGCTCAGTATACAGCTCGCAGTATACTGAGACACCACAGCCGGAACGGATCCCGACAATGCTGTCTGGATCAACAAAGCTGCGTGAGTGACAACTGGCTCTGCCTATCTAGAGGCAGAGCCAGCTGTACCTGACCCCTCCGTTCCGCCAGTCAGTGGTGGAGGATCGGGGAGGGGGGGGGAAATCCCTGCAGGGAGCCGTGAGTGACAGTCACGGCTCTCTGCAGGGATAGATCGAGAAGTGAGCGAGCGACAGTATGTGTTCGCTTACTTCCCGATCTACTGAGCCGACCTGTGACAGTTTAATTGTCATAGGTCTGCTCAGATTATGAGGCTGAGTTAAAATCACTCGCCTCATAATTCTCCTTTAAGCGCTGTTGTGCCCTTCTAAATGTATGAATACTAAATAAATGCCATTGAAATTCACCTCACAGAGTGGCTTGTGTTACCTGAACACAATAATAGTGTGAAGCCAGCCTTAAAGCAGAGATCTGATTGCACCTTCACTATAAATTATTTGCTCTTTGCTAACATTGTTATACATATATATATATATAAATCAAACACAATATCTTACTTGCAGGGGTAGTTCTCTGGGGTTCTGGTGTGTATTTGGGGTTCCTGAACATTCCAAGCCTGACAAGTCTTTCCTGATGCTGTGACAGCAATATTTCCTCGATATGACTCACCATTTCCAGACAAACACTGCAATCCCATTGGTGATGGAGGGGGATTAGAGGCTTTTAAATGCAAAAAATAAACCATTAAAAAATACTTGAATCCATACTTTTTTCTTCATGCAATCAGTGTAAACCTAAGCACAATAAATGCAACGGCAAAATAGTCAATGGTCATAGATATCGTGTAGCAAATGGTCAATATTTTATAAGGACCCTTCCTTTAATTTTGGGCCTATGAGATTGTTTGCCTAACTTGCTAATCATATAGATATCCACTCCCTCCTTTAAGAATTATTACATACAAATGCAAATACTTTGTAGTTTTGAGGATTCAACTAAAATTGTAATTGTAAAACCAAATATTTGTAAAAATATTTTGGATCATTTACCAAGCTTATGGCATTACATTATACTCATAAGTTCTCTGCAGAAAAGTAAACACCATGGTGATGTAATAGTGAAATCTGAGCAAAGTGAATTGTTCTTGTCCAATAAATACAAAGGCATTTAAACTTCAGCACTCACTACAGCGTGGAACATTGCAGTATTCCCACCGCTTGTTTGGGTTAGTAGTAAGGCACCATGGTCGAGGTTCTCCATCTGGATTCCGGCAGTAATTCTTAATGAGATTTTTTTCTGGAATGCTGAAAACATAGATACAGTTTATATGAACTGATGCATCAAATACTGAGCGGTATTCCCACTTGTAATTATCTTTCAGCATTACATGCTAGTTGTTGCTCACTTCATTAAACCTCAGTAATGGAAAAAAAGCATACAATCAAGATGAAAGATAATTTCAAATCAGTATTTATAGCGCATGTGAGTTTATAATTCATTATGAGTACTGGGCTTAAATGAATAGTAAGAATTGCTATTTGCACTGTCTGTGTTTTTTTCTTTTCTTGTGTTGTTACATAATAGATACTGGGAAGTACTTAGAGTTGTGTTTTAAAAAAGAGATAGCCTTCTCAAAGCACTGGTGCTTAATGCTGATGGGCACCAGTATCTTCAGTATTTCCACTGTGTGTTACATAAGTTGTTAATGTCAGCTTGCTGAACTGCTACAGGTGTACTTTGGGCTTTAAGATCCTGCCTGGTGAATTGTTAAAAGTGCAAAATAAAAAACCTATGCTTCCAAGATGTTTGTCTCCAGGAATATTTTATAAAGAAGGGGACCTAAAGAAATAAGCCCCCTCTGAATAATGTTATGACCCTTTATGGCAGGATGGTAGGGATTTTATTAAAGATATCTTACAGTCAGTGTTGGTGTGTTGATCTTAAACTTAAACTTATTCAGTTCTACATCCTCTCTGGAGGCAGGTAAGTTGCAAATAAATCTACATCCCTCCTTCATAATACCAGAGGTGAAGAAAAGCCTTGTATCTGTCAGGTATCAGAAACTTAGGGGTGTGCACCTTGTTTTCTAGGGATTTCTCTGAAAGCACCCCCAATGTGGACTAGTTTAACCATTATGGAGCACACCAGTTACCCAGTCTTCACTTGTATGTTTGTTGTGCTGTGCTGGTATTTCTTGCGGGTTTTGATTTTTTTACAGCACTTTTACAAGGATTTCACTAGTATCCAGGACACCATAATTCCAACTGTGAAATTTCCACTTCAAGGTCCACTTCAACTGAAATATTTTCATTGATTGATTTGACTGATTGTACTCAATGTGTGTGAGTGCATCTCCCTTTACTGTGACTCACTTGAAATGTAGATACTTGAATGGTCCACCTTCCCTTGCACTCTAACCCTACATTTATGTATCCCTGCTGGATAAACCTTGGGTGTACTGCATACACAACTAAATGGGAGAGATTGATGGGTAACATGGCAGAGCAGAGAAGACTATGAGCAGATTTGAGAGACCACAGTGCATTGTTCTGTAAATTCCACTTCCATCCAGTCAGATTACAAATACGCAATGTGCTGCTACCTAGCCCATAGCTGAACACGCATTTGTTTCAAGCTATTTACATTTATGATTTTGTGTTGTGTGGGTGTGGTTAAATTTACGGCCCATTCACACCAATTGTGGTGCATTCAAGAGAGGTAGCTGCTGGAACGCACATCAGTTGCTCACTAAACTCCGCCCTTCGCTCTGGGGCGTGTTGGTGCATTGAAGTCAACGGCATCGCAGATATGTATCCCCGCCCGCAGTGTGATTGAAAGCGTGGCAAAACATTGCCTGCGTTCCGGTCCACTGCGAAACGCAAAAATGCTGCATGCTCTTTTTTTTGTGTTTGCAGTGGAACGGAACGCCCCCTCCCGCCCCAGAACGAAGGGGGAAGTTTAGTGAGCGATTGCTGTGTGTTCCAGCAGCTACCGCTCTGGAATGCCCTGCAATTGGTGTGAATGGGCCCTCAAACACATTTTCTGGCGCTGCCTGAGGGCTGAACAGCTTTGGTCCAGAACCTTTTAAATAATATCCACCGCACTGACTGTAAGCATATATTAGAATCCCTCTACAGCAGCGGTCTTAAAGTACTGGCCCGTGGGGCGACTGGGATTGTATTTTATGTGTGGGGGGAGTAGATCATGTTATTTCTGCAGGGTTAGTTTTTTTTTATGTGTATGGAATGTTATTTTCTATTTGTGCATGGGTAGGATTTTTTTTATGTGTACGGGTGGGAGGAGTGCATTAGGCTCCATTCACACCAGTATCTTTACATGCGATTAGGGATTCCTGCGTCAAGAACTTGCGTTTTCCTGCAGCAGGAATGGCTAATCTGATGTTTACAAGCGGCCGCTGTCACCCATACAAGTTAATGATCAGATGACAGCAGCTGCATGTAAACGCCTGCACACCGCATGTGTTGGTGATATGATTACATTCGGTTCGGAATCAATCACTCTCAGTTGTGCATCCAGGGTGAGTGTTTTCTAACTGCATGTAATCATATCACATATCATTACATACGGTGTGCAGGAGTTCACATGCAGCGGCTGTCACCTGATCATTAACTTGAATGGGTGACAGCTGTCGCCTGTAAACACCAGATTAGCCATTCCTGCTACAGGAAAACGCAAGGAATGCCTAATCGCACCTAAATTTACAGATATGAATGGGGCCTTATTGTATGTGTACTGTATTGGGGTCCATTGTACCATACTGGATATAGTTACATTTTATTTTAAAGTATGAAATTTGGCAAGCGGCCCCCATGGGAGAAAAACATTTGTCAAGTGGCCCCCGAGGAAATTGAGTTTAAGACCGCTGCTCTACAGCTTTACTGAACACGCATGGCCAGATGGCCTTTAGAATCATACATTTAAATTTCTTCCATATATATTCACCACAACCAATCAAGTTATAGCTTGGGAGGCTCCCACCTTCATTTTTATTAATGGTTAATAAAAAACAGATGGTGAGGTGATTTACTAATGGAGTAGAGCGTGTTCATTTTCAAAATAAATGTTCACTTACCTTAGTAAATGAGGTGGAAGAAAGTAGAAATTCCCCTTTGCGAATAATACCCAATCAAGTGCAAGAAAAACGAAAAAACTGTATTTTTGCTTGTACATGATTGGATGCGTAAAGTCAACACACCTTCACTGTGTTCACTAAGCAAATTTTCTCTTTAAAAAAATGAATTTTCACTTAAATTAGTGAAGGAGGTGAAGTTGTGCTGACTTCCACCATCTATTTGTTTTTTTATTTTCCATTTACATGATTGAGTATTCTTTGCAAAGTGAATGTTCAAGTTGACTTTACAAAGTTTTATAACATTTGAAACCCCGGGACAGAGTACTTTAACCTCCCTGGCGGTATGATTATTTCGCTTTTCGTTATTTTTTCGGCGCAACCTTTTTCCGGATTTATTTCGTTATTTCATTTTGTCGTTTCTTCCGGGTTTTTTCCTCGAATTTCCCGCCGGTTCCGCCCCCATGCGACGCGTCAGCTCGCAAGGGACGGAACCCGGAAGACAGATGCCGGCGCCGGCCGGAGGACACCGCACGGCTCGAGGGACAAGGTAAGTAAATACTGTGGGATATTCCCGAGTGTAGCTCAGGGTATGGGAAGTAACCCCGAGCTACACTTGGGAATACCGCCAAGGAGGTTAAATGCAAGCTTTGATACCACTTTATTTAGCTTGCAAGCATCTACCGTGTGCCACTTGATTTACATTAACTGAAATCCAATTTTAACTAAAACCTTTGCATTTAGGGTGGGTAAGTAATAGAACATCTGAATTTTGTAATGTTTTCTTTATTCCTGTTGGTGTTATATCTGTCACAGAAGTGAGGTGAAATCTCCATAAATGGAACATAGTCAGAAATAAGTTTTTAAGCCTTTTTCACTCTATCCTATCCTCTCTAAGGTAAAAAAAAGGTTTTGGCTGGAGACATACAGAGGGGAATTTATCAAAACTGGAGCAGACAAAATGTGGAGCAGCATGGCAACCAATCAGCGTCTATCTTTCATTTTGAAATCATAATGGAACAAACTGAAGAGAGCTGATTGGTTGCCATGGACAACTGCTACATATTTTGTCTGCTCCAGTTTTGATAAATTCCCCTCACTGAATCTAATTTTTAAGTTAGTGCATACCCAATCAATCTTTTGTTCTCTGAGTTTCCCTGTGAATACAGCTTATTGAGGCTGTCAGTGTTATTCAAACATATATATATATAGCCAGTTTTTTTCTTTTTGTTATTTTAGATAGAGAGAGAGAGCAGAAGCGTTACAACCCCTGTCAAGTTTTTATTGTTGGAAATCCAAAATGTTGTCACCAGAATTAGAGGTGAAGGCAGATCTTTCAATGGGAACACTTGTTCCAGTGACAACTAACTACAAGAGGAATTCCCTTCACTTTGGAGAGATTCCCTCTCATTTACCGGTAGAAGCAAAGGGAAATTTCCCAAACAGGACACAGAGAACAAAAAATAACCTACTAGGAGTTGTAAACTTTCCCAACTCTCTCCAAAACTAGAAAGAAATGTTATACGTTATACAATGTTATACAATTAAGCAAAGCCGTAGCTAGCTCCTTTTGCTCCCGAGGCAAGAACAGAAAATTGTGCCCCCCCCCCCCCAACAGCCGTATGATGCCACCCAATGCTGCACATGCGCGGCATCATGTGACGCCATGTGCCCCGCCTCCAGGCGGGGGGAGAGCAGCGGGGATCCAAGGAGAAGCTGAAGCCTGTGCCGCCCCTCTTCTCCCTGCCTAGCTGCGGCTGCGTTGGCCGCTTGGTGCCCCTGTTGCCATGGCGTCCTGTGCTTGCCATGGCAACAGGGGCGAGGGGGTGCAGCTAGGCCGGCCCTGGCTGCGCCCCCTCTCAATGTCTGCGACCCCTCTCAATTGCCCCTGAGGTGAGTGCCTTACTCACCCCATGGTAGCTACTGCCCTGCAATTAAGGCACAGTAAAATATAGCTAAAAATGAACATGTTGCATGTTTATGAGCGATTTTTTTTCAAATATGTCATATTTTACAAAAAAATTGGCATTGCATACATTAATATAGAGTATTTATTAGGGTTGCACAGATACCAAGTACAGTACTCAGTACAAGTACGAGTACATGTACCGATACTTTTGAGCTCCAAGACTACACTAGAGAAAAATTCAAGAATTAGTAGGCAGCTGTCATTTGTAAGGAGCACACGGAGCTCCTGGGATTTGTACATCTCAGTTTTAATGTATGATTTTGTTTTTATAAATATAAATAAAGGGATGCACAGATACCAGTTTTGCGAGTACGAGTACTGGTACTTGCCGAGTACTTACAAGTACGAGTACTGATACATTTTTGTTTATTTTCATGTGACAGTTTTTCTAAAACAATACAGACTAATTATTTCAGAACAGTGGTGGAGTGCCAGAACCAGGTCACAGGTGCAACACTGGTAGTTCTCATGAAAATGGCAAGTATCTGCACTGGTACTCGAAAAGTATCTGTGCATCCCTAGTATTTTTTTTTTTTTTAAACCATCACCAAAACCCATAAACAAAACAGGAGTTGGTTTCTGACACCTGTCAGACAGTATCTTCCACACAGAGTACAGTATGTAATGTCCTTACTAATGACAGCAACATATGTTGCTAGCTGACACATCAGCTAGCTATAGCAAGGCACATATCTAATACCCATGCTTCCCTAGACACACAAGAATGATGCAATGCAAAATATTTCAGTACAGAGTTCATCATTTTCCTTGCAACTAATATTCTGTGCCTACAAGAAATGGTATATAAATCAGTGTGAACTAGTTGAAGCATGAAGCTTTATTTGCAGATCTATCAGAGTCCCCTGGTTTGCCAGGGTAAAGCTACAAAAATGGAGGATCTAGAAGCATATTTGTTTTCAAACAAATTTTGTGATTCCTCTAAGAAGCTCCTTTATCCCCTCCCATTCTGTGCTACTGATTAACAAACAAGTATTCAGAGGCAGCCAAAGGGAAATAAACAAAAAATATAATTCTCAATAACAATTTTAAAAGTTTGTTTTGGTTCTGTCCTTCTTCTTAATTTGACCTATTTTGTTATCTGAGTATGTATTGCAGAAAAAAGGTTTTACATTGAATTGATTACATAAAGCACAGGAGGTAAGAGTAATGGTAAAATAACAGAACAACAGACATAGGATATCCAACGGGTAAGCAAAAGCAAGTGTCTTGGTGGCAACCACCAAACCTACGCTGTGTTAGAGATTTGACTGTTACTGTTGCAGAATAGTACCTATTTTCATATGAAGATGAAGGGAGCCATGTGCCTTATTAATCAGCAATGAAAGGTATACTATTAAAGATTAATCAGTGTAATACTGATATTTAAGTAATTAAGGCCACACACTACACAATATTTTAGCCAAAATATCAGTATATTTAATTATAATATTTTTTAAGCTTCTACGTAAGAACCCCTGTAGATAAAACGCTTAGTATTCTGTGAGCAGAAGTTTTGCACTGTAATCTTACCTTGCAGGGTTGTAACCATGAGAATGGGGGGTTTGTGAATCCCAATTCTGACACTCCAAGCCTGACTCAGTCTTGGAAATTTCCCCCCTGTAATTTCCTCCACTGCAATGAAAGCAATCCTCTGCAGAAGAAGCATTAAATCATTGTTAATATTGTCAATTAATGCAATTACTGTATATACTTTGTTGCATAAGTAGATCATGAAAGCTAGCCTAATTTACAGTTTTTAGTTAAATACTCTTAGCCTAGCACTTTTAAATAGTAGAGACATTCCTTTCCGACAGGCAGTTATATGTAAGTATATACTTATATTTAACATATAATTAAACACCTTAAACACAATAATTAAACACATTCTGACCTTCACATTGGGGTATGTTGCAAAATTCAAATCTAAGCTTTGGGTCTGTAGTGTAACACCAAGGTCCTTGTGAATCTCCATCTGGATTTCTACAAAAATTTGCCTCAAGCCCTTCATTTGGAAAATTTTCAGGAGTAAAGCTGGAAATGAAAAAACAGTGTCATAGTAAGGCACTATAAAAATGTAAAATGTGCTAAACATGTCATCAAATGCTAACATATAGGTGTTGATTTACTAAAGGGAAATAGGTTGTTCACTTTGCAAGTAAATTTTTCCTTAGCTTAGTGAATGAGATGAAGCTCTGCTGACTTCCATCATTCAATATATAATGTGCAAGAAAAATACTGTTTTTTTAAATGTTCCTTTCTCTTGACAACGTGAGTTTTCACCACATTTACTAAGTTAAGAGAAAATACCTTTGCAAAGCAATACCTTTTGCCTTTAGCAAATCAACCCTATTATATCCCTGCTGATGTGAAGCTTTTTGAGTCAATGTAAATTGTTACCTTTTCCAAAATTTATGAACAAGCAAACATTAGATCATTATTCAAACAGTGCCTACAGATAAAGGTGACATATTTAAATAAAACACAATGTTATTTTTATTAATTTATTCAACAACAAAAATCAATAGATGTATTTGAAAAGGGCAGTCCACAACCCTCTATTTCTTCTTTTTGAGCCATTCCTTGGTGGGTTTGCTAGTGTGCTTTGATCATTAAGATGTTAAAAGACCCATTTCCAGTTCGACTTCAACTTTTGGACAAATGGGTGAGTAGTACATCCGGCTTGGGTGAATGATTCATCCCTGAGTGATCGTGGTACCTATCCTGGCTGTGGTCCGGTGAATTACATCTATGCCAGGCCTGGGCTCTTTCTGCCCTGTGCTTTTATGATTTATAGCAGGTACCATGGGGAACTCTGGTCCTGGTCTCGGCTCGCCTTCGCCTTGCTCTTTTGTGTGTTTTGTTTCCTGTCTCTCTTTCCCTTCATGCACTGTTCCTGTAGTGGTACAGATGAATGGGATATGATTATCCTTTTTCAATGTTGGCTACTTAGTATTGGAATATAGTCCCGCAGAGTTAGAATTGAGACATCAACTTATTAAGTGTTGCCAAACATTGATAAGTATCCAGAAGATTTGTATACAAGTCTAGTGTGTAAGTACTCACATGTGCCGTTTTCCTCCAGGCCAGTGTGAGTTGCTGAATCAGTTTTGAATCATGTCACTTCTGCTGGTACAAATTAAATCAGGTTGTATAGGGATGTCCTTTAGTCTTCAGTTTTAGAGACCCCGTGGGCTATGGGCTTATCTGCAGGTTGTCTGGGGTTTCAGGTGGTGGTTGTTGATCTCCTTTGATGATCCGTGTTTTAATTATATTTGAATAAACTATTTTTGTACTAGATAAGGTACTCCGACCCTTGTTATTACTGGTCTTGATTTGATCTTCTTTAGATCATTTCTCCTTCCTTTGCTCTAAAGACAACTAATGTGCCTCACAATAAAATAAATGAATGCACTACAAAGCAAACTATATTATATTAATTGCATGTTAAATTATTTGAAAATGTGCAGGTAAACAGAATACAAAATAGTTATATGTAAACCTTATTTATTTGAACAATGAAGAGACTTACAGCTCCAACCTAGACTGTATCCCTTCAGTATGGCATGGATCGCCTATTTATAGCTCAATAGGAACCTATCCTGTGTGGGTTACATTTCCTTTGTTTTGATCGTGAAAATGGATGCTGCGTGGTGAATTTGATACTCTTCTGTAAAAACGTTTGGTCATTATGTGCCAGCTACTCCCTCCTTGCCTTTTCCTTTCTTCTATCCCCATTTCTCTCTTTTATAAAAGTACATAAAGATTTTCCTAGCCAACTAACGTAAGATTTTTATGCATTCATATACCACATGTGAATCATTTTCTTTTTATCTGTACAGTTTTAATTGATTTTTACCTTAGGTAAGGCTGCAAATAAAATGTAATTTATTAAAGAAAGAAAGAAAACAAAACAGATGAGAACAGTAAGTTGATGTAACATGTATAACTATGACCTAAAGCTGAAGATTAGAGCCAAACCCTTGATCCTTGCAGCCCTCACTGAAGACACAATGATAATTCCTGCCATAACTTCATAAAGGGGGTTATTCACAAAGCTGCCGAAGGATCTAGCCATAGCTTAGGCTGATCCTTCAGCTAGCTTCAGCCCCAGGACCCCTTCGGTTCAGTAGAACCGAAGGGCTGCTGTATTCACTATACCCCGTACAGCTCCTGAAGTTGGCTGAAGCCATATGCTTCGGCTCGAATGATCCGAGGTGAAAGCTGAAGCCGGCCGACAGCCTGCTACTGACTGTTGGGCGGAGCTAGCTGTCATCTCATGGCTGGCTCCGGCCACTTGCAGAGACAGATCAGCGTCCCCTGGACAGCAGCAGAGGACGGGTGTAATAGCCAGCTTGCTATTGGATATTGCAAAGTGAAATAGCCAATAGGAATCATGCTATGCATTCCTATGCTGTTTTTTTTCTAGTTTTTTTTAATGGTTTTCTATTCTGCTTGGTACCACAGAGATACTCACTGCTGTCCGGCCTCAGCAAAAAGCCTGCCGGAGGTTCGGCTCAGCCGATCCCGATGTTGGATCAGCTGAGTCGAACTCCTTCTGCAATTCGTGTCGGCCGAACATGCTGAGCCAGCCGCAGCAAGCCAATGTACGGCTGATTTCAGTCGGTGTACGGCTGAAATCAGCTGTACAAGCCTGAAGTGAATAGCCGAACAGCGTTCGGCTCACTTCAGTTCGGGTCGGTTATTCACACGGCTGCCTTTGGCAGCTTTATGAATAACCCCCTAAGTGTACCTGAACAGCAGTGACCATCAGTATGTTTATGCTGAGCTTTCTGGTATATGATTTTCTAAAGTTATCATGCCTACAATCATAGAATTAAAGGTCATTATTGTAAATGCACTGACAAAGCTTTGGTACTTGCTTGGGACAAAACTTTGGCACCTTAACCTAAATAAGTTACGTAAGTGCTCAATATTATTTTGAGCATAAAACATCCTCTTTTTCTCTTTTATGTAGATCATCATGTGCTCTTTCTGCTATTATTTTATATCTCAGCTGTCGATATATAATTCAGTTTGTTGCTTATACATGAGCACCTGTGTGTATTTTTGCACATATACTGTAATATATATATATATATATACAGGGCCCGAAAAATCCACTCGTCCACTCGTCTGTGACGAAATGTATATATATAAATATATATACATATATATATTATTTATTTGAGTATAACAGAAATCAAATCATTATCCTATTACAAAGATGTGTAAAAGTGTTAGAAGATAGACTAAAACTGTACTTTGGTTGATGGGGGGTGTTCGATACCCAATCTTGACATGTTATCCCAGACTTTGTTTTAGATTCAGTTCCTCTGTAATCCTTTCCATTTCCAGAAATACAATTTTCAAGGTAAGCTACAGAATAGATAATAGATGGATACATTAAATGAAATGCATGTGTATTTCTTAAACAGATGTATCAGCAACTGACTTTTACCAACATATATTTATATATATATTTATCACTATGTAACCAGCAATGTCTCATATTAGCCCAATCAAATGGGTAAAAAGAAATGCACATTCATATGATATATTTAACTTTTTTTTAGCTTTTTTTTTTCTTTTAAATTTTTGGCATAAAAACACAAAACATGGAAGGTTATGGGGCCTTATTGTGCTGTGTATTATAATTCATTAACGTTATGAAACACTCTATAAACTCTTCTGTGCTCTGGTCAGGAAGTAGACTACTAGTGAGCAGCTAGGTTAATATACCATAGGTAATTTATCCAGCTTTAGGGGTCATTCCCATGTACAGAAATACAGGCGTAAGGACATACAGCGGAAAAATGCCTGCATTTGCACAGCCCAGGAGCCCCAGGTGTTGCATATTTGTGTCCATAGGATTGCATGGACACAACACACTGGAAGCAGATGCAAGTACCCCATACACCTGCATGTGTAAACACCAGTACTTGTATTTACATGTGCACACGTGATATTCAGCATATTGTGTCTATCCAATCCTATGGACACAAATCCACAGCAGCTGGGGCTCCCGGGTGATGCAAACACAGGTGTATTTTCCGCTGTATGCCCATATGCCTGTATTCAAGTCCATGGGAATGAGCATGTATTCCCTGCCCATGTCACGGATTAAATAAAAAGTTACAATAAGGTCACAAAACCTAATGCCCCATTCACACACAAATTGGCCTGCATGTACAGCTCTGTGCTGCGTGCGGGGCCGTACCAAGCAGCTGCCGGGAAGGACAGGTGCTGCGTGTGATTAGTACGCAGCCCCCGTCCTTCTCTATGGGGCTACGCGGCCGTACGCCCCCCTACGCTCACCTCAATTGCAGGTCCGTAGGGGTGCAGGTGAGCGTATTCATATGCCGCTGGAATGGATCCTGTATGCGCCCCTGCCAGAAAACTGCTTAGCCACTCCCACTCTCAAATCTCTACAACATAAAGGCTAATCATTCTGTAGTCCATGATAAGAACTAGGAGGGCTAACTAGTAGAGATAACAATGGAAGAATGCAGAGGACACAGGCAGCTCTGAATTTCTGGCAAGATTAAACAATTTTTTTGTATTATTTGTCAAAGAGATATAACAAAATGCTTCCAATTGCATATTAAACAGACCAAAAAAGAATGTTAAAAAAGAAGTTAATTATTTGGGTTTACATACTTTTTAAAAAAGACTACAAAGCTTTATTTGCTTCCAGAAATCAATGTCATTAATAATAAATAGCTCTGTTTGGTGGGTCCACATTTTCATTAAGTTGACAAATTTTCATGAGCATGGGTTTTACAAATGAATAGTTCCAATAACTAACCACAAACACCATAAATAATAAATGTGATGAATGGAGCACATACTTTTTCTTTCATATATAGCTACATCACTCCTTCGATGCACAATTGAAGACTTCTGATTGTCAGGAAGTGTAACGCATAGCTGGTTTTTTGAGCCATACATAAAGGATCTAAAGGATTTAAGAAAGAAAATTTGCATATATAAATGACATCTGCCATTGTAATTTTTCTTCAGGGATTCCATAAAAAGTTACAAGACACATCAAATCTACTGTATAAATCAGCATTTTCTGATTTGAAAGGGGAGGAGCGCAAGGTCTCTAACATCCACCAGCTCGGTGATGTCGTCAGGGAGGAGTGGAAGAGGACTCCAGTGGCAAACTGTGACGCTCTGGTAAACTCCATGCCCAAGAAGGTTAAGGCCCAATTTGGACATTTTCACTTAGGGGTGTACTCACTTTTGTTGCCAGCGGTTTAGACATTAATGGCTGTGTTTTGAGTTATTTTGAGTAGGCAGCAAATGTACACTGATATACCATCTGTACACTCACTACTTTACATTGTAGCAAAGTGTAATTTCTTCAGTGTCGAAACACTTACTCCCAGAAAGGTTTACTCTGCTCGATCGAGCAGAGTAAACCTTTCCTTGCAATCCGTTTTGTTTTTTCTGACATGGGGCCGCCCTCAGTCAGAAAAAAAAACACCATAGGAATGCATAGCTAGATTCCTATTGGCTATTTCACTTTGCAATAGCCAATAGCAAACTAGCTATTGCACCCGCCCACTGCTGCTGTCAATCAGCAGAGGGGACCTGAAGTTCTCCATCAGGTCCCCTTTGTAGCCACCCTTTGTAGCCACCCGATCTACGGCTGAAATCAGCCTACACACCTGAAGTGAATAGCCGAACAGCGTTCGGCTCACTTCAGTTCGGGTCAGTTATTCACTCAGCTGCCGTCGGCAGCTTAGTGAATAGACACCATATCTTAACAAGCAAAATAAAGCAGCTGGCAAATGTCATTGACTGGAAAAAGGCTTTTTTCCTTTATAAATGTCACATTTGCTGGAGTACATTCTACAGGTGCAGGTTTTAGACAGTTTCAGACATCCACCAAGCATGTTATTTAAAGGAATTGTGTATTTTTTAAAGAACTCCAGGCATAAATATTCTTAACCCTTGCGGTGGAGCTACCTCCATACTGCAAGGGTTAAGTGCTCGTTTTAGTCTAGGAACAAAAATAACGAAGATATACTCACCTGAAACTCTGAGTCAGCTAGCTGCTAGACAGGTCCCTGCAGCTTGTCTCCTCCTCTGCTCCTGTGGTCTAAGGACCTGTGAGTCATTAAGTCCTATAGAGTGTATAAGATGTGAAGACACCAAAGGACATTCCATTGCTGGAGTGGAGTAGGAGACAAGCTTTTTCCCATAGTTCTCCTTAGGCTAACGGGAGGACACAAACTAGCGTCCTCCCGTCACCCTAGGCTCAGTATACCGCGAGCTGTAGCTCGTGGTATACTGAGACGCTGCAGTATACCGCGAGCTGCTGCTTGCGGTATACTGAGACGCCGCAGCTGAAGTGGATCCCGACAATTGTGACGGGATGCGCCCAGCTGCGTGACTGACAGCTGGCTCTGCCTATCTAGAGGCAGAGCCAGTTGTACCCGCCCCCTCCCCCGTCCTTTCCGCCAGTCAGCGCTGGCGGAGCGGGGAGGGGGGAATCCAGCCCCTCCCCTGTCACGGCAGAGAGCCGTGACAGGATCGAGAGGTGAGCGAACGCCGGTATGTGTTCGCTCACCTCCCGATCTACTGAGCCGACCTGTGACAGTCTCATTGTTACAGATCGGCTAGAACTATGAGGTGAGTGAAAAGCACTCACCTCATAGTTCTCCTTTAAACAATAACAACTGGGTGGAGCCGGCCGTGACGTCACGACCAGTTCCGCCCAGTTGTTGTTCATTGGCCGGAACCTGCTAGAAGACTCTAGCAGGTGCTGGCCAATCACTGCTAGCTTCGCCCAATTGTTTTTCTTTTTTATTATTATTTATTTATTTTTAAATATCTTTATTTTTTAATTTTACTATTTATTTACATTTTTAAAATCTTTTTCAACCTTTTTTTTTCTTCTTTTTTTGACTATTTGACCACGGAGGTACCAAGCAGGATAGCCGAGCGAGCGGCATTCAGCTATTCACTCACTGCCCTTCGTCAGGGGCGAACAGCAGCGAGTGAGCTGCCGGAGCTTCGGCTCAGCCGATCCAGATCCTTCTGCACTTCTGGCTAAGCTGACTGAAGCAGCTGAAGTCAGCCGATATATACGGCTCAAATCAGCCGTACAAGCCAGAAGTGAAAAGTCGAACAGCGTTCGGCTCACTTTACTTCGGCTCGGTTATTCACTCGGCTGCCTTTGGCAGCTTAGTGAATAACCATGTCAGTCTTTTCCTGTATATAACGCTTCACACTCCTGTGACTTCTTGTATTCAATTGGTATAAACCTTTTCGTAGATGTGTATCATCAAACATATAAATTAATACATTAATGAATAGCTTCACTGCTCACAGACACCAATGCTCTGTTATATAAGTCGCTCACCTCCTTGCTCAGACCCTTAGGTCACAAACGCTATTTGTGAAATCAACGTCTTTCACCCACCGATACTTCTACCCATGCTCTTCCTCATTCCAGATAGAACGATCTCAATCTTATCAATCCATCAGCTCCCTGACGAAGACATCACTGACAAATAGACATAACGCGTAGGGGCGGAGTCAGTGCCAGAGAGCAGGGCAGGCAGGTCTGATATGTGATTTTACATGCCTTTTATGTGAGTGTAATATTTTTTTATAAAAGTGTTTTATTTAAAACGGGTTGTGCTGTGATATCTACCTCTATTTTTGAGTATTCCTTGAAATGAAGATGGGCTTTTATTAGAAGAGAGATCGATAAGAGGGAGATCATTCTATCTGGAATGAGGTACAAGTATCGGAGGGAAAGACGTTGATTTCACAAATAGCTTTTCTGACCTGAGGGTTTTTTTCTTGTTATTTGCCAAGATACGCTTATGTACTTGATGGTTAGTTACAGAAAGGAACAATATAATATAAGTCATTCTGAATCTGTCTGAGAATACCTCTTGCCTATTATAATCAGGCATGATAATATTAAAGTGTACGCACAGGCAAAATTAAAGATATATAACATAAAGAGGTAATAAAGGAGAAAAATGGAGGAAATTAAGACCTTTTTAGCTCCTTAAAACCTTAGCAGGCACTCAAATACTGTGTTTTTGGGATAAGATTGTGAGTAGTTTTTATTTTTTTGCTAACTTTCTTCTATCAATATAATACTGGCTATAAAAGTACTTGCTGTGATGTACATGTAAACACTCCTAAGATATGGCTTATTTTTCCATTGGTTGCTCGCTATGATGGTTGTAAGAGTGGAAAGCTGCATGTTATCAGATAAGGAGGGAGGATGTAAACACTTGAAATATTAAACCTGTGCCGCTCAGAGCCAAGGTATTTTCGTGCGCAAAGGAATTTTAGCAGGATAAACATTAGATAGAAGGGCATAGCTCTTACTATATGAGCTAATAGGTTTATAAAGTTATAAAAGGTATTCCAAATTTCTTAGAATTGTTATATTTTGCAACTGCTTCCATAGCTTAAATCACCAGTTGCAGTCTAAAGGGGGAAAAAAAGCTTCAAAATAAATACCTTCAGTGGAATGAAGTATGCAGTATATATAACAGTGAGATGTGAGATGTGAGTGTTCAGTGTGAGTGTGTACAGGGCCATTTATGGACTTGCGGTGTGTTTAGAGTCAGCTTAAACTGTAATTCTAGCAATAAACTAGATAAAAATGAATAAGCCCATTAAAAGATAAAATAACAAATTCAGCTTCCGCTGCAATATTCAGCTTTAATCCAGAGATTTCCATGCAGTACTTTTTCTACCACTAAATATCCTTAGTCATATGGCCAGCATCATTCAGCCCACTTAGATAGTGGACCCACCATAGCCTGTGACTGGACAGTAAATGGAAAAGCAGCACAGTAGTGATGGGCTCATCTCTCTGCCACTCTGCTTTCTCCTCCTATCAGCATACTTCTTGTTAGCAGCCTTGTACTGCTTCTTTGTCTCACACTCCAGCCCTGCTGTAGAGGGAGTGCATGAGGCTGATACCAGGTCAAATTGAGGTATTTGCACTGCTTGCATTTAAGAAATATATTTAATGGTGTATTAATGTTTGCAGAGCTGCATTGATTTGTGTCTTTTATATTATATAAATTTGGAATTTGGGCGGTGATAAGTAAAATAAAGGTTCATCCTCCGCCCGTTTACCCGCCCACCCCGGCCTAGGGGCTGGCTTTGGGACACCCTCCATAAGGGATCCAGTACCAGAATGCCTGTACCCAGCGGAGACTCTCCTCAACGGCAAGAAGTTCTGCAGAGGTTAATGGGCGCAGACCCTGTAATGTACCTGCAGTTTCTGGAGCGTCAGGCTGAGAGAGAGGCGGCTGAAAGGGAATCGGCCCGAAGGCATGAACTGGAGATGGCTAAGCTCCAGCATCAGAGACCGGGACCACTTGCCTCAGAACCAATGGCCCAAACATTTGACCCCAGGACTGAGGGGAAAAGCTTTGGACCCTTATGTGGAAATGCCACCTGAGCAAGACAACGATTACGAAGCCTTAAAGGACGCAATCGTGAAGAAGTACCAGCTGACACCAGAGGTGTATCGCAAACGGTTCAGATCCCTGCAAACCCCTGCAAACCCGTTAAGACTCTTTTCTGGATGTGGTAAGTCGCTTACGTACCACATTCCGGCAGTGGTCCCAGGGGCTGAAGAAAGTGTCTTACGAAGCCCTGGAGGACCTGATGATCCAGGATCAGCTCCTGCACATCTGCCCCACAAAAATTAGGCAGTTTGTGCTGGAGCGAAAGCCAGAGTCTGCCACAGAGGCCGCTGAACTTGCAGATACCTATACCAACACTCGGGTATCTGACCATCGTCGAGCTTCCC